CATTTCTGAAGAAGGGTCCAGACCCGAAACGTCAGCTTTCCTGCTCCTCTGATGCTGCTTGGCCTGCTGTGTTCATCCAGCTCTACACCTTGTTATCTTATAACATATAATCTAGGTTGTCATTCCTTATTCTCAAGAGGTGTCAGCTTTCAGGCAAGATATTAAGGCAAGGCCTGTCTGCACTCTCAAATCTATATTAGAGAGACCGTGGCACCACATTGAAGAACAGCAGTGGCTTCCTCTTCTGCTGGACAATATTTATCCCTCAAGCGAACAGATTTTTCTAGAAGTTATTTCATTGCAGTTTGTAGGATCTTGCTATGTATATAGTAGTTAACTGTGTTCCCTGCATTTCAACAGTGATTGCATTTCAAAAAGTACTCATTTCCAGTAAAGGGCTTTGGGATGCCTTTAGGTTGTGAAGAAATGCTACATAAATGCAAGTCTTCCTTTTTTTTTGGCCAGACAGAAGTATTTCAAATTATGAAGGGATTTAGCAGGGATGATATTGAGAAGATGGTTCCTCTTGCGACAGGCTGCATAGGGGTATAAAATGAGTGGAAGGGAAAGGGGTACGGTGCCCATTACCATTCCATCACTGCTGTCAGTTTGCCATCAGTTTGGCAGCTGACCCGTCCTTGGGCAACTAAGATCCTTGAGCGCTCAGGATACCCATTCCTGATAAGATGCCTCTTGAAGGCACTTTGGGAGTCCATCAAGAAAAACCTCCTGCAGATCTAGGGTTGAGCTGGGGCCCTCTTGAGTGGGCAGTGAAACAAGGGACAGCCTCCACCCGCTGAAACCCCCCTAAAGTGATTATTCTGCAAACGTCTATGGAATGATCAGGCACAGGCTTTTGTGATGAGTCTATATCAGAGTGCTGACCTTAAATAACTTCACTCCCCTAAATATTTCTCTTTAGTGGAGAGAATGAACAATAGATGTTTATTTATACAGAGCCTTTCAGAAGATCAGGATATTCCTAAGCAAGTTACATTCAATGGAATATGTTTGCACTGTTATCACTGTTGTAATGGAAGAAACGCTGCACCAAATTGCACAGATTATTTCTGATTGTATGTCTTATGTGGGATATACAGGGGAAAATATACTAATTGAAGAAAAGATAATGAGAGGCAGAATTTTACAATCTGACAGATTCAAAGATTGGAATTTTCATGGCTGTGGAAGCTGTTTTTAGCTGACGTCTGTAGAAAATGATAACCTTTTGAAAGAAATTAATCCTCCCACCCCTCTCACCAATGAAAGGAAACCCCAAACAAAATATAACTTACTGTAACAGCAAACCAAAATTAGCATAAAATTAATTAACAAGCAATGATTTCAAACAGAAAAATATATTTCACTTTAAGCTGATGCCACAATCAGTGTTGTAAACGTAGTGAGTCCCAAAGTTTCTCCCAGGTCAAATCTTCCAAAAGTCTTTAATAACTTATACAATCCATCCAAGCTTTCTAAAAATAATTATCACTACCAAGGCAGAGAAAGAACCATTTCTCTGTCTGGTCAGGTGCTCAGTTTCAGCAGCTCCAGTTTCCAGAGACTCATTTGTTTGAACCTTTGAATAAATGCACTTAACAGTTGAGTTCAGTTCAGTAAAATTGCCCTCTGTAGAGAGTTTGCTTTATCTGCTCCGAAGAGATTAGACTCCTCTTCCTTTACAGTAACAGAAACAGAAACCTTAAAAGTCTTTTGCTTGGACTTTATCATAAGCAATTTTCCCTACTTCTTCACTGCACCAGATTCAGTCCCGAGTTTCTGTGAAAGATGCTTAAAAACTATAATTCAACACCTTAGTGGGTCTGAAAATATCTTTGCTTTAGTTGACTTTCATGTCCATAGCAACCTGATCACAAATGTATTCTCGGAACTGAGATTTGTGCGACACACCCTTTTCAGAATCCTTTTTCACGTTGGATTTAACCATCATAAAAAGAAAATACAGGCTTTTTCGCAAAATGTTGGGTTCATCGCACTAGCAGTAATGTTAGGTTGTATTGCTCATATTTCAGTGGAGAAAAATGCAGAATTGTCCTTTCAGTAAACAGCATACTTTGAGCTTAAACAATTAGGAGCGAAAACCAAATTGAACAAACAGTGACCTATTTAACTACCTCTACTATGAAACTTTATCATATGCACATCGACCTTTTTCCATGTGATTTATTTCAGGAAGTATAATTACCATGTGTAAATTACATCAATTTAACGTCAGAAATTCCTTTTTGGCAAATGACTGTGTGGTAGGTACTGGTTGATTGAGAAACAGCTTGTTTACTGATAATAAAATCAGTGATTTGATCATACCTCTGAAAAATCTGCAATGAACATTTTACTGAGCAAAGTTTAAGTAAGATTTTAATTTAAAAATAAAATTCTGCTTTAACGGTGTTCACAACATCATAATTTATGGAAATATATGTTGGCCTAATCTATTTCAACCATATCTTGTTGTATCTACCTTGCTGAGTCATTTGTGATTGATGGGCTACTTGTAGAGAAGGAAGAGCTGGGCACAAATCCTTCAAAGAACAAATACCGAACAGGAATTAACCCTTTTAAAAGCATTTTGCATGACAGAAGCTGAGAACTATGCAAGATCCATGTTAAATATTAAGACACACGTTCTGAAACAATAACTTGCATTAATATAACATCTCCTTAGCGTGGTAAAATGTGCCAAGCATCAGAAAGAATTTAACAATGAGCTGCATAAAATCATTGAAGCTGATGATCAAACGTTTGGTCAAGGAAAGCCTTCAAGAATGGAAGATAGGTTGAGAAGCGAAGCAGTTTATGGAGGATAGGGGCAAGACAACTGAAGGCATGACCACCAATGTTGAAGTGAAGGGAGTTGAGGTTGCTCAAGAGTTGGTGACTGCAGGGATCTTGGAGGGTTGTAGGGTTGGAAGAGGCTACAGAGAAAGTGAATGGTGAGGCCATGAGAATTTTAAAATTGAGTTTTCTTCCAGAAAGGGAAGCAAAAGCAGCTAGAAGGTGCAGGGGGCGATGGGTTAACAGAAATTGGTACAAGTTAGGACAGGAACAGCAGGAGTTTTTTTTTACTGATTTCAACTTAGGGCTGGAAGGAATGATCAGAAGAAAAGAAATGTTAATTTTTTCATGTCTGTTGAATGACATTGCAGGAGCAAGTTTGACCCTCAGAACATGGAAAAAAATTTGCACGCAATCCAGTGTGTGTCTGCACTCCTTCAGGGACCCTTTGACGTTGGAAACAGCATTTTGGTCATGCAAGGAGTCATGGAGATGATGGTCGCATTGTGTGGTTCAGAGAGAGAGATTGACCAGATGGTGGCAATAGAGGCCATCAACCATGCAGCAAGCAAAGCCAGCAGAGCGAATTTCATCATTTCTAATGGAATCACCTTACTGAAGGATATGTATAAGAAATCAACTAACGATAAAATCAAAATTAGAGCATTGGTGGTAAGTTTCATTGAACAATACTGCTGGATATTGTGTCATTTTCTTGTTACTCAGTTGCAGTGGTTTTCAGCCCATGTCTGCCTCAACTTGGTGAAATGTAAGGTAGAGACCCTCCTTTATTTTACTGCCTTTCTATCACTTTTTGTACATTTCAGATATTACATGGAAAATTGGTTGTAAAATACTTCTCAAGTTGGCCCTGAACCACATTGCAAGTGGAAGTGGCCAACTGGTTTGTCCCTTGTCATTAAGTATGTAGAAGATGATTACTTTATATTCTGATCGTGCCTTTTAAAATGAAATATATAACCAAGTGCTGTTCACATTCTGTGATACTTTCTGGTATCACCAAGGTGGGAAATGTTCACATGAAGTCATAAAAATTGAAGATGTAATTAATCTGTATTTTGGGTTTTTTTTTGCAAATTGGTCCCTTAAATATCTGCCAACATTATTTCAATATCTTCATACTTTTGAAATCATGTTTGAAGCTCTGTATAACATTATATGCTTTTTGAAACACTCTATTTTACTAAACTTTAATTTTCAAATTGACTGGAACTTGCATCTGGTCATCTTGCTCACCTAGTCTATGCAGGTACTTAATTTGACATGC